CCGCCTCTGCTTCAATATGAGCTACTTAACTCTTCTTGAGGCAGGTCGAGCAAAACAAAATCGAGTAGTTGAGTAGGTGGTGGAAAGGGACGGAATGTAAGAGAGGAGATGAGAAGGATAAATGAATTAAAAACAAATTTTTGGTGGGGGAATTCTTTCTCGAGGATTTGGTTTTGAGATTTTTTTGTAGACACGTAGGTTTGTGTACATACTACCTATACTTCACATAGGACCCATACTTATATGTGGGTGGTCACGACTTCTTGAAGCGTGCTACATAGTGATAGCGATGTTAAGGAAGAATCAACCACGACTTTGATGCTTTAGATGTTTAGTGGACTGGGGGCCCATAATTCCACAAAATGGAAGATGCCATTTTTCCTTTTTAGCACTCAATCATTCAGTCGTATCGTACTCCATCCTATCAACATCAAACTAAGTTACAAAAACACATTGACAACTTGTAAAGTAAATGCAAGTGAGAACTCGACTTTACCAATACGCATTGCCTCAATTCAGGGGTGAACCCATTAAGGGCCAAGGGTTGCAATTGCACCCACTGGACCTTTAATTTTTTACGTTTACAAAGTAACCCTCATAATTTTCTAGTCAATAATTTTAAGTTTTTAACCCATAATTTTTACATAATTCTATCTTTCCCCACTGAATTATGTTCCTGGATCTGCCTTTGCTTCAATATAAGCTACTTAACTCTTCTTGAGGCAGGTCGAGCAAAACAAAATCGAGTAGTTGAGTAGGTGGTGGAAAGGGACGGAATGTAAGAGAGGAGATGAGAAGGATAAATGAATTAAAAACAAATTTTTGGTGGGGGAATTCTTTCTCGAGGATTTGGTTTTGAGATTTTTTTGTAGACACGTAGGTTTGTGTACATACTACCTATACTTCACATAGGACCCATACTTATATGTGGGTGGTCACGACTTCTTGAAGCGTGCTACATAGTGATAGCGATGTTAAGGAAGAATCAACCACGACTTTGATGCTTTAGATGTTTAGTGGACTGGGGGCCCATAATTCCACAAAATGGAAGATGCCATTTTTCCTTTTTAGCACTCAATCATTCAGTCGTATCGTACTCCATCCTATCAACATCAAACTAAGTTACAAAAGGATAGGGAAAATCTTATAATCCAGTCGTAATACTTATCGAATTTCGTAACGATGCATTGTCAAGTAAGTTTTATCAATTCATTTTAAATAGAATTGATAAAAACACATCTCAAAATAGAGATTGATTGAATTATAAAGTCGTTATCAGATGTATCCATCGAACTTGAATACACAGCAAATATTTTTTCCATAATCATATGGTTGGTTGCGTGGATGGACCAAAATATGTGGAAGAGGTAGGCAAAAAAATCAAATTGAGGGTCGCTTTCTTTTTATGTTTTTGTTTGGGGCACTTTTTGAACGGTCAATAACAGATTTTCTAATCTTTGTAGTCCAATTTTTTATTATTTTTTATTTTTATTTTTTTAAATACAATTAGAATAAAGATATCTAGCATTGATAGGGCTATAACATTAGTCTAAAGTAGCACCAAGTGAAAAGTCTAATTAAAGATGAAATTAAATTATTCATTTAATTTTATATCTCATTTAATATCAATCAATGATCCGGAATATTAAAAATAGCATTACTCATACGATTAAGGTTGGATCGTTTTGAAATCGAACCAAAAACTGTTTGAAAAATGTCGGATTTTGATTACAATAGTTAAAAATAGTTTGGAACCAAATCTAACCACTCACCTAATTTTTTATTTTTTATTTTTAAATTACTTATTTTATTCAAGATACTTCAACAAGAATACTTACTAGTCTACTTGTATTAGCTCTTTAGTAAAATAAAAATTTATTTATGACTAATTTTTTATCTCAAAAAAAATTGCAAGTTTAATTCCATGGTTGAACTTTGTATTAATTTATTGATTTAAATTTGTATAATACATTAGTATTGTTACGTTTTTGTTCAGAAGGTTCCATTTCAAGTGTTATGTTGAAATTTCAAACTAACATATCAAGTTTTTCACTTGTTGAAATATGTTGTTTTTATATCTCTACCAGGGTTTAAAACCAAATCAAATCAAATAGCAAAAAATAATTTGGTTTGATTTGGAATTTTCAAATCATATAGCAAAAAATGGAACTTTCTCAAATCATTTAAAATTGTTTGATTTGAAAACAGTTCAAAAACAGCAGAAACCATACCATTCAGAAACAAGGCCCTCCTCGATCTGATTCCTCCATTTGCTCCTCAACTTCGGGGTATTAACAGCTATAAGTCAATGAAATTCTCTAGTCGGCAATCACCCGCTCTAATATCATCCCTATCAATATTGAAAATTTATGAATGGATGCCACCCAATTCACAATTCTGTTTTATCTCATTATTTAGACCACGTTTGGTTCCCATTTTTAAAAATATTTTTTCCCTCAATTTTATTTTCAACAACATATTTCATAAAATTCGTAACTTTTATTTATTTTTCAATTATATACTTCGTCAACTTTTATTAAAATCTACTAACAAGCGTAGATATATCATCTAGTGATCCAATGAATAAATCACGATCGGAGTCAAAAAAGTGGGCTCAATTGTGGCGATGGGAGGCATGCCTAGATACTTGTTTGCTAGGTTATCGATTGAGGTGAAGATACTCAGTAACATGACACGTCAAAGGAGGAAAACATACTTGATTTTGCAAGGAATATATGTTATGCTTTATAAAGAAGAAGCTATTAATTTATCCAACCTAACTTCATCGCGGGCAAACTGCTATGTATTTTGGTGGCAACGGTGGGAGTAGTGGTCGTGGCGATGATTAGATTTGTTGGGTGTGGATATGAAAAAGAGTAATACTATACAGTCTCACTGGAGTTGCAACCCTAATTTAGGTAACACTAGATGATAGATTAAATGAACCTATCAAATAATGTCATATAGCGCCATCTATACTGGAGATGCAATCCCAGTGAAATTAAATAACATTACTTCTTTGAAAAGAGGGGGGGGGGGGGGGGGGGGTTACAAAAATGGACTTGGAATCAAGAAACGCAGTGATAAGTCCTTAAAGAAATAAAAAATTAAATAGACCAGATGAGAGACGTGAGCATGACGAAGTCATCACTTAAAGCTATTATTCTAACATCTTTAATTTTTGGGTCCTGCTTTGCCAGGATGGGAATTCACAATTAAAAAAAAAAAAGTTGAACCACAATCTTGAGGGTCCCCACTGTTCCGTCCCTAGAGTTTTGTGAATTAGGTAAATCTCGATATGTTCCCCAACAGGTTAGGGAACAAAAGCTGCTTGTACACTACGCCTACAAGAAATCCAATTTCATGTCTCAGGAATCGAATCCCCACACTGCGACTGCCAGCAAGACGTGAAATAACTTTATTCTTGTCCTTACACCACTGGACCATACCCCGAGAGGCAGATGAGAATTCACAATTACTCACATGGGATGGGGTTGGTGCATTTTTTTGGGATATTATTTTAATAAAATTGAGATACATCTCATGTGAGTAATCTGTACAAAATTTGGTGGAATGACCTTGATAGAATAGCTTTATCCTTACATTTTTTGTAGTACCACATATTTGACTTTTGTTTTAAAAAACCACGAGTATAATAAGAGAATCTTATGATACGGCTGCAAATTTCGCTCGGCCTACTTTGTTTAGAAATTTTTTGTTAAATCAAGAAAATGGAAAAAGGTATTTATTAGTATTACATATTTATTGAATTTTAGACAGGTCCTACGAGCTTCACATCATGTCCGCGGAAAGAGTTTTTTGATGTCCATTTTAATGATTTTTTTAATTATTTATTTATTTTTTGAGCAAATGAGTTTTAGAATAGTGATTTTTGGATAATGTATTGCTAAAAATAGAAAAAAGAATTATGCTTATGTGTAAGATATTTTATCTGTGTGTGATTGAAAATGAGTTTAAAAAAAAAAAAAAGAGTTTTGATTTAATGAATGTCAAATAGGTCTGAACCAATTAAAGAAAAGAAAACATGAAAATAGACTTTTAAGCTCGGTTGATCTCATTTCTTGATAGAAAAAAAGAATTTGCATGCTCATGCTTACTATCTTTTATAAATATTCAAGTAATTTTTTATTTATATATTTCGAGGAATCCATGAATACTACGCACTCATCTGTTATTCTTTTTATTTATTTATAATTTTAGTAGTTAATAAACTTATTACCGATAAGTTTTGGTTGTTTGAAACAAAAATATAACTTCAAAATCAAAATTCTAAGCTTTTAAAAGCAAACTAAAAACATTGGGTAAGGGTTTTCAATCTTTCATACGTGTGACAATGTTGTACTGAAATTTTATCTATAAAACTCACGTCTTCCAATATTTCGTTAATTAGCACATATGGTATCGGATGGTGATTTATATCTATATACTATTTGTGTATTTTGAAATGAATGATAAATATTCTATGGATCATGCTACACAAACATAATTATTGACATGCGGAATGATCGAACACTCATACCTAGGGGATCGGGCATTATTTTATTCACGTGGGGTCCACGCTCAATGTAAGGATCGATCACCCAAATTCGGGCACTTTGTCATTTTCCATATTCTATTGGGCAGGTGGGGAAGACAAAATGCTTATTGTGTCCCATCCCGAACCCACCTTTTGAAAATTCCTTAATTGGGATGGGATTGGGGAAGGCCATCCAACTTCGTCAGGCATGGTGTTTAAAAAGTAAAAAGACCATGCGCATAGTGTTAAAAAGTGGGGATAGGTACACAATGAAAATTGAAAAGCTGGTATATAGTTACCACACTTATAGAAGGTTGTAGATTTATGGAGGAATTCGATTGTGCTATATGTACATAATAAGTTTGTATAATTATTTATATACATATGGTATGATGAGATACGATAATGTTTGAATTTCTTCAACTAAAAAAATCACCAATACATAGTCTGTATTTAAATCATTATATAATTATTTATGCGCAAGTAGCGTTATTAAGAGGAATTTACCCGACGACCTTTCACTTGTTTAAAGCTTAACACAGAAGTTCAGATAAGTCTTTGATCTTTTCTCATCTGTATGAATATGGGATTACAGTTTTTTAATCACATTTTTGGTCAACTTCTATCAAAATTTGATTTTAATCTCCACCATATAATCACCTCCTCTGCTATTTGCATTCATCCACAATTCATCACTGTGTGAGCAAGAGGAGGGTCAATTATGGAGAGTAAATGGTTAATTTGTTTATTGCTTATCAGCGGTTTTAGTACTTACTGTTACGCGTCCAAAAGCATGAGAATGCGGCTGTCTACTGAGCAAAACATGGAGGATTTGCTTACCAGACGCAATCTTCTTTCGAATGGACTTGGCTCCACTCCTCCCATGGGGTAATTTTTTTCTACCCATTTGTCTTACGGATAATATGGGTTTATTATTGCTTCGTATTGGTGTAAACCCTTATTCCAAGCTGAGCAATTTTATTGGTTACTGTCATAGTCAATGTTATTTTATTGATAATCGATTTCTTGTATTTGATTTAGGTGGAATAGTTGGAATCATTTCGCCTGCAATATTGATGAAAAAACCATCAAAGAAACTGGTAACTGCTTATTACTATCATTCACTTTTTCTCCTTGATTTCTCATAATTCTGCATACCATTTAGATCTTATGAATCAGTTAAGATTGTTCTGCATCTAGATGTTCACGAAAATGGTGCAAAAACTTGTTATTTTGCTTCATCATCAGTAGATTTGTAAATAAATTCTGTGTATCTTTCTTGACAGCTGATTCTCTGGTTTCAACTGGTCTTTTTAAGCTTGGTTACATATATGTCAACATCGGTACAACTTCATCTCTAGCTTTAATTTATTCTTTTTCCCGTGCTGAAAACTCTTGTTGAATAGACATGAAGAATTAGTAGCTGATTGAAATATCTTAATCTTTTCTATTAGATGATTGCTGGGCGGAAAGTTCTCGTGACGACAAGGTTTGCTTTTGTAGAGTTATGTGATGTTCATTTAATAACGTTCGGAATTATGTTATTGTTTTCTTACATCTTTTCTGTAAAATCCGATATCAGGGTAATCTAGTGCCTAAGAAATCCACATTCCCATCTGGCATTAAAGCTCTCGCCGACTATGTCCACAGCAAGGGTCTTAAGCTCGGAATTTACTCAGATGCAGGGTAATTTGGGTTTGCTGATGCATTAATTGAAGTCATGCGTGTATGTGTAAAAGCAAGAGTTCCATTAATAAATGCATTTTCTTTGATTTTCAGATATTACACTTGTAGCAAAAAACAGCCTGGTTCACTTGGTCATGAGGAACAAGATGCCAAAACCTTTGCTTCTTGGGTATTGTACTTACTACATATTTGGTTTGATGTATTAAACTGTACTTGGTAGTATTACGGAAGAGAGAGAATTTAGAATTTTGTTCATTGTCTAATGTAGTACTGTCGAATATTGCTTACCAAAATGTTCTTGATTGTCTGTTTTGATGGAGACGTTCCTTACATTTGAGTTCATGAAGTGTTGGAGAGCATAAATTCTGTGCTTCAACAGAAGCATCCACCGGTGGCTTTCCTTTCACTATACAACAAATTTGTGTTAATGACATGCTTTTTCTACACTACAGGGCATAGATTACTTGAAGTATGATAATTGTAACAATGATTTCTCAAAGCCAACTCAACGGTACCAAGCTGATTTCTTAACTTCATTCAGACAATAATGTCTTGCTTTCTTGTTAGGTTCGGTTGATCTGAAAAAAAGTTCTGCAATTATTTTTCCTTGCATAGGTACCCTGTGATGACCCGAGCATTAATGAATGCAGGCCGTCCGATCTTCTTCTCTCTCTGCGAATGGTGATTCTGTTTTTACGTTGTTATAGTTTCGTGTATTTGGCTTTACAAACTCTGGATTTTGACACGATTGCCTGTGCTTGTCAGGGGAGATCTGCATCCAGCTTTGTGGGGTTATAACGTAGGAAACAGCTGGAGAACTACTAATGATATCTCAGATAATTGGGATAGGTACTTTCTCTTAGGATTATTTATTTGTCATAATTCACTGTATACCTGAAGCCTTGAACTAATTTTCCATTCGAACATTCTTTCTTCTGCAGTATGGTCTCAAGAGCAGACCAGAATGAAGTTTATGCGGATCTTGCAAGGCCCGCTGGCTGGAATGGTTAGTTTTGCCTGAAGTCAAAACTTACAACTTCATTGACTTATTATCAGAAGCCCAATGTTCTCATGGCTTGCCTTTGAACAGATCCCGACATGCTTGAAGTCGGAAATGGAGGGATGAAAAAAGATGAATACATTGTTCATTTCAGCATATGGGCAATTTCTAAGGTTGTTTCTATACCATACATATGCTATGTTTGGTAAGGTGGATTGGATGTACAAGAAGCTAAAATCCTGTCATTGTACTGTCAGTCCTTCGTGCCAACTGCCAAACATACCGTTAAAGTTTATCTATCGTAATTGGCTTAATTTTGCTTTCTGATCTTATATTTATACAAGAACGTGTAACATAACTGCAGGCTCCCCTTCTCATTGGTTGTGATGTGAGAAATACAACTAAAGAAGTTATGGAAATCATTGCAAATAAGGAGGTGCTTTCTGTGAATCAAGGTAACTACATCGATCTGCCATTGTAAATGTATTCTGCAGTCCGGTTTCCCTGATTATTAACGTTCTAGTAATTGGTTTAAAACAGACAAGCTAGGTGTTCAGGCTAAAAAGGTTAGGATGGAAGGTGATCTCGAGGTAATCCTGCAATTTTCATGTTGTGATATTGCGATTATGCTTTTTTTTCATATTAGAAATTCAGAATACTATGTGCCTTTCTATTTTAATGTATAGGTGTGGGCTGGTCCGCTTTCAAACTACAGAGTGGCCATAGTTCTGCTGAACCGTGGTTCTTGGCCAACTTCCATGATTGCTCACTGGGATGATATTGGGCTCCCTCCAAACACTGCTGTTACTGCAAGAGACCTTTGGGAGGTAACACACACACGCGTACATACATAGAAATATCTATATACTGATATTCCCTTCTTTAATGGTTGGATGCACTATGTATGCAGCACAAGACTCTGAAGACAAAATTTGTAGGAAATTTGACAGCAACAGTGGATTCTCATGCATGCAAAATGTACATATTGAAACCGGTTTCTTGAGAAATTTCTGGCTCTGTGGTCAGCATTAAGTTGTATTTTTCGAATAAAATTGGCAGCCAACATTCGAATTGATCGCCTTCAGTAAATATTCGAATGTGAAATCTCCCTTTGCTCCGTCTTTACCAGTGCCGTATGATTAGATCATTATCAAAATTTTTGGTGATGGACGAAATGCTTGATTAAAGCAAATAACGGTTGGATTTTCATATAGCCTCGAGTAGCGCTAGAAATTTAGACAAACGATAAGAGACGTCCAGACTGAATCATTTATAAAAGAGAATTTTATACTTGGAACCGTTTGGTTCCGTGTATAAAGGCAGAATTGAACTGACCAGTTTTAATTCAGCTAGGTTCAACTATAAAGTCTATAAATTATATAAAAAAAAAAAAAATGCCAAAATTGCAGTGAAAGCACTTGTTTTAAACATAACTAAAGATATCATTAATAATTTTTTTCGATTCTGAATACTGTTTTACAGATAACATTATTAAATTAATAAAATTATCAACTTCGACAATATTTGAAAAAAATATAGGAAATTAAACTTTTAATTAAAAGGTGCAAATGGTTCCTTCTTTCATTTTTGGCAGCACAATCGGTAAACTTTGTTAGGTCCATTTGATTTTCATTTTTCTCAAAATGTATTTTTCTCTCCTTTATTTTCAACCACATATTTTTCATTAAAATAATATTACACGTAAATCAAAAACTTTTCATCCACACATTCTCCATCAATTTACTATTTTAAAATTCATTTTTTCTTCAAAATGGGTATCAAACATCCTGTTAAAAAAAAGTAGCATAGGGGCCTTTAAATGAAAAACTCTTTTTCTGTCCATTAGTTTGATGAGTCTAAAAATATCGCAAATCATAGGTTTTTGTATTGTATCACTTTTTCGAGGTCATAAATATAAGAGAAATGCTAGGTGTACATCCTGGTTGCAGTTCTCTAATATAATTGCGAGCTCTCTATTAGAGGGCTGTCAAATTAAGTATATACTTAGCATTTTTCTAAATATAAACATAAATAACTAATATATTGAATATTGAAACCAGTTTCTTGAGGATTTTTGGCTTTGTGATCAGCATTATTCAATGAAGTTTATTTTAAAATAAAAATTGGCAGCTGATTGTATTTGGAAATTACATTTAAAGCAATCCTCTTACAAGAATACTGTTGACCTCAAAAAATGCGTAAACAGAATCTTGGTCACCTTCCTTTCACTTAGATAATATGAAGCATTCTAACCCTAGTCAAACTCCCCTCTCCCGTCTTTTGCACTCATATTTCTCTTGTCCGGCCGTTGACTTGACAGTCGAAGTGCAAATGATCATTGGACTTTTTCTTGACTGATGACCTTTGCCTTCTAATGGGATGATCCGGTGTGCAGGTGATGTTTACGCTAAGGGAAGGTAGTCAAAATTTCGTTGATGCATTTTTTGAGGTCAACAAATACTTACTCGCAAAATTCTCTTAGTCCTTTTTAGTACTTTCTTTTATTCTTTACCGTTAATGAATGGTATGTGGATGCATTAATAGAGAGTAGAGTGTAAGAAACTCACGCATGTTTGGTATATTGGATTAAGCGTGACTGTATAAGAATATAAGAATACATAATAAAATTATCAAGCGTCGCATCTCGTCTCTCCTCAATGTTGTAGGTGAACTCACACCAGTGAAGGTCGTTTCTCACCTGCCAAAAGAAGAAAGCAGAGGAAAAGAAATGAGGACCCAATATGTTTTCAACTTTGAGGAATCTTCCAAAATGTGTCATAGATATAGCTTCCTAGTTGACCACCAATAAGTAACACATCGCAACATCATTTAACAAATAGTGTAAGTTAATCGATAAGTCCCCATTTGGTTTTGATTAAAATCAATTTAAAATTTTAAGTCAAAGCAACAACTAATTTTCACCACATATTTCCTTTATTTTTATTAACATCTACTAAACAATTGATTTTAATCTACATCAAACATGGACTAAATTATTTACACTACAATATGATTAACACAACTCGACCATTGATGAAAACTACAGAATCAAAATTATTACATACACGTCAAAAAATAACATAAGTTGTAATTACACGATCTTTCTTAAACACTAGTTCAGTGCATGTTTGGTAACAATTTTTAATATCAAAAAATCAATTTTTTGACCGTCATTACACTATTCAAGCCGTCATTTTTGACTTCTTCTTTCACAGATAAGATTTATTTTTCTCTCCAACGGTCAAAAAATTAATTCTCAAAATCACTATTGAACAAGCCCTGAAGCTGTAAATTTGCTAAATTTTCAACAAAAACCAGTAATTATAATTCACCCATATTTTATCCATATTTGTGTAAATTGCCCAAAATGAAAGCAGCCCGTGGATCTATCCTGTCACGATAGGTGGGCTGGGTTTGGCAACCCAACCCACTCTGCTTTAGTTTGTTGGAAGTGGAAATTACATGGCAATAGGTGTTTAAATTTTACAATTCATATATCAGATACAAAATTTATTTTTTGAAATATCATGTATTAATTTAATTATAAAATCGCCCACACCAACTGTCCCACGCATCAAATCTTAATTATTATTATTTCCTTCTCTCTCTACACTCTTTATGTTCTCTCTCTACACTCTCTCGTTTCTCTGTTCTTTTTCTTATACAGCACTGAATCACTGTCGACGACAACACCTCGTCGACGGTGACTACAGCATGACAGCACAGTTCGCACAACATGACAAGATCCAACCATTTGTCATCCAATTTTCAAAGATTGCCTTGTGCCTTCTACGCTCAGTTCGCACAATGATCTGAATGTTGTAGTGATGATCTGAATGGTGATGGTTTGACTATAGAGGTGGCGATGACAATTGTGATTGTGGTAGTATAGTGGTTGGTTTCTGTGGGTGTGTATTTTTGTTGAGATTTGATAGTCTCGATTTTGTGGAAATTTGGTCACGAACTGGTGTTGAAAATTTGGATTGAGTTTTATTGGTTGTGTGTTGATGGTGGTGGCTGTGTGGTGGTGGTGCACGTTGTGTCGTGATAGTGGTGATGGTGGTTGTTTAGTAGTGGTGGTGCAATAGCAACTGTGCAGGTGGTTGTTGGTGGTAACGGTGGTGATGATAGTGGCTGTAACGGTGCGTTTCTGTTAGTGATGGAGGTGGTTGTTTGTGGAGAGCTGACAGTGGTAGTTGTGGTGGTGTTGTAGTCGTGGTGGGGTAAGGGTGATCGCAAGTGGCCGTAATGAGAGTGGTGGTAGTGTTGTTGGCGGTGGTTGTGATTGTATTATGGCAGGGTGGGTAGTGTTTGTGACCAAAGTATTAGCGATGGATTGGGATTGTGTATTTGGTATATGTGATCAAATATTTGATTTTTTGTAACTGACTATTAAACTATGATCTTAAAATTCGATAATATGTAATCTTAAAATTTGATAACCTGTGACTGAAAAAATATGTGACCAACAAATTTGAAAATATGTCACTGATAGATAAATTGTAACCTATAATTTTTTTTATTTGTGACTAATGAAATAAAATGTGATCTATAAAATTAAACCGTGATCCATGAATCTTTTGATTTGTGATCTCGAGAAAATTCGTGACTAATTAATTTGATACTATGTGATCAATAAATAAGTTGTGACCCATAATTATATTTTTGCGACCAATAATTATATAATTGTGACTTTATTAAATTTTATTTATTACCTCATACCTGATTTTTGTATTTTCAAATTATACATCTGACTTGTGATTTGGTGTCACTGAGGTATGATTTTTTTTTCCTTGTTGGAATCATTGTAGACAAGCAATGACTAATTTGCGAGCTTAAAGCTTAAACTTTAAATTATCATTTCTCGGTACTTTGACGAATCAACGCAGTTAAGAGTTTATTATATTATGAAGGTTAATTTCATATGCGGCCTCTATAATTTAACCTAATTTTTAATTAGGTCACTATACTTCGATCAATGTCAAATGAATTTCTCAACATTAAATTTGTGTCAATTAGGTCTCTTTAGATCACTTCATTCAATTTCACCACATTATTTTAAGCTAGACACTTGCATGACTTTAACATACTAATGGCCATCCTATGTGGCCATAAAAACGACTTTAAAAAATGATATGATTGAAATCTCATTTTAAAATTAGACTTGCGGCGATATTTTATCTTTTTTCGATTAAACCACCTCTTCCAAATCATCTTTTAAAATCAGTGGAATGTCTATTAGTATTTAATGACTAAGTCAATTTTTGATGTTAGACAATACAATGAGGTTGAATAAAATGGCTTAAAAACATTGGACATTGGTTCATATTTTTAGTTTTGACATCTTATTTTGTTTAAATTATTTCTTTCAAATCTTTTTTTTTAAGGCTAGTAGGATGACTGTTAGTATTCAATGGTATAATTAATTTTAATCACATGTTTCATGGTATTTATAACTTTTTAACCATATATTTTATTGTTTTTTTATCGAAATTTACTAAAAATTTGATTTTTTATTTAAACCAAACAGGGCAATATGTCCTAGGCAACGAGTTTTATGTTTAATTACAAAGGACTAGAATGGAAAATTTACAAATATTTGTGGTCTGAAATGAAATATTGTTAAACTTGAGTGGGTATGATTGAAAAATGAATGGACACAAGAATGGAAAGAAGCGTTTGCTCAATAATGGCATAAAATGCTTATTGGGAATCGCACTCTCTCTGCTCAATTCCAAGATCTCATCTGCCACAACACACCCGAACCAAACATATGTTCATTCAACTTTTACTCCTCTTCTCCTCTCCCATTGGTGCAATAACCCAACACCAAAAAGTATGAATACAAACTGAAGATGATGAGGAAATCCATATAGCATTTTTTGTTTAAACCAAGAAAAGAAAAAGGAAAAAAAAAATTTGTTAAAGCTTTCCCACTTTGTAAAGGTGTGCAGGAGCATCTTCCTTTACCCTTCTTGAACTATTGACTATTAGTGTTTGTT